TGTAAAGGAAGCACCGCTCAACACGGCAGAGTCCTCGTTGATCTCACCTACAACTACCCAACCGAAGCAGAAGCGACCTAGAGGTCGACCTCGCAAGCACCCGCTGGCGCCCGTTGTGAACCCTAGCAAGGTTACCAAGGGAAGATCCAAGACTGGGTGCATTACTTGTCGAAGGAGAAAGAAGAAGTGTGACGAAGCCAAGCCAAGATGTGAGTAAACTGTTCGATATGTTGAGGGGCTAGCTAACGTCATGGCAGGCATGAACTGCGAAAAGAACGCCGTCGTCTGCGAGGGCTACCACGAGAAGAAGCTTTGGAGGAGCGGCAAGGAGAAGGCCTGTGATGGTGAGTGTCACTGACTGCCCTGGCTTTTATCGACACTAACAACCTCAAAGATCGCATTGAAGACTCGGTCGTTTTCACTATGCAGCCCCTGTTCAACGGCGTCGACACCACTGAAGACAAGATCTTCTGGAGACACTACGGCGTTCACCTCAGCAATGTTCTCACTGTGGAGGGCGAGGCAAAGAACGCCTTCAAAGATATTATTTTACCGCTGGCAAACCTCCACCAAGGTGTGATGCATTCGGTTCTTGCCATGAGCAGCAAGCACATCGACTTCGACACGCCCTATGGTGCCAAATTGCTTCAGCAAAACCCAACGACCAGCCGCGAGGCACTCCAGGAAAGATCTGACTATCACCACAACAAGGCGATGGAATCATTCTATGCCGACATCCGTCGTTCCGAGGAGGAGAACGCTGATGGGCAGACCATATCCACTGCTCGTTTCGCCCAGATGCTATGTCTTCTGGTCACCACCCTGATTGAAGGCAACCCTCATGGCGAACATAGGGTTCATCTCCGAGGGTACAAGGAGCTTATCCAGCAGACGCCCCCGGAGGACACGGTCTTTCTCAGCTTCATCCAGGAGTTCTTCCAATATCATATCTACGCTGACGAGCTGTTGTGGCATCCTGCTATGGACGGTCCTCGTCTGGCTTCCGAAGACTGGAGTCCCTTGGTTCCCATCGAGTCCCCTCGGCTCTTGGGTGTCGCCGATGGCCTTTTTCAATACCTTTGCCACATCACTACACTGAGGAACGCCATTCGCGAGAGCGTCTACCGAGGATCTGAGACGGTTGTGAACTACCACATCTTGTACCGGGCACAAGAGATTCAGGAGGCCATCGAGCAGTGGATGCCCATGTGGCCACCGGGCGACAGCAGGCACCGCGTGGGACATGTCTACAAGCACATGATGTTTTTGCATCTGTTCCGAACCATTTACCCTCCCACGTCAGCTGAGAGGAGACCATCCGTGTTTTCCGTGGCAACTTCGATTGCCACGTCGACCTCGTCGTCTTCTTCTCGCCGTCACTCGCAGATCTCGCGTCCATCGACGGCGACGAGCTGTGCGTCGTCCCCTGGACTCAGGCCTTCCACTGCGACAGGATTCCCTTTGAGCATGCATCTCAAGCGTGATCCCAACTCTCGAGGTCCCTCTAGGACGAGCTCCATGCACGAGTCTGACGCCGGCTCTTCGAGTTGTGCCGTCATCGACGAGCAGCGTCCTGCGTCCCCCCCACCCATCCGTCGCCCCCCTCAGCACGACAACCGCATCACTTCAGCTGTTGAAGAATCTTTGAAAATTATGGAGGGCTTCAAGCCTTCCGACCCTGCCTTGACTCTGCTGCTGATGCCTTGTCTCGTCATCGGAGCGACCTGCTTTGATCCAGCACAGCAGGAGCGAGTCCGAACTGTGGTCCGATCGATCCGTGGCTACACTGGTCTTCGCAACTGCGACCGTGTTCTCGACGTGCTCGAGGAGCTCTGGCGTCTCATGGACTTTGGCGACTGGCTCTCAGTTTGGGATTGGCAGACCGTCGCGAGAAACCAAGGCCTCGACTTCTTGTGCACTTGAGCATCTCACCGGACAAGAGGCCACGCTCAACCACCTCATCGCTACCCATCATCTCTCGCTCACTCTCGGGCACATGCGCTGCTCGTATTACTTTTCCGCCGGTATACCCGTGTGCTGTATTCTCTCGCTATTTTTCCCTCAGTACTTTCATACCATCTATCTGGGTCGGCATTCTTGAGGTTGGAGTTATCGGACGAGGCATGTAACGGAGACGACATCATGTACAGGGGGGTCACTGCATTCCACGCTTCATTCAATGGATGGCAGCCGAAGGTGAAGACACTCTCGGGCTGGAGAAGCCAGATTTCAACGGTCGGAACTTGCGGAAAACATCGGGTTTGGTACTCTTTTGCGTGTCAGCTTGGTTGGACTCGGACTTGGACTTGGTTATCTTCGGCGGCTTGTTGCTTCATTTGGCGTCATTTTGTTTTACTGCAACTTTGGGAGGCTGGCTCTTTTTTCCACAGTCGGCATATCTTTTTCCACTGGGTTTTTTTTTTTTTTTTTTTTTTTTTTTTCTTTTTGGGTAATTGGGATAACAGGCAGGGGATCAGGGGATCGATCTATGGGTGGGCGGCTCGGACAGTGTCCGAATCTGATTTTATTGCACACATTTGTTAGCACATTTGCAAGGAGGACTCCAAGGCAATTGCGTCGTGGGTTCTGCGATGAGCAGGCCCGCGATGCAGATTCAATACACAAGCCGCGCGCAGGTTTTTTTTACTGCGCGCCTGTCCTCGACACCAGTATTCTATTCGCCAATTGCCCTATCACAGTGCCTTGATTACACGCACGTGGCCCATGTTTGCCTGTCATTGAGAGGGGGTCCGTCTGCAGATTACCGACTCATTAATGGGCATTCAGTCAAACGTCTCAGGTGGCCGTCTGCCGCGAGGAGGGAACCGAACCGGGGGGCGCAGAATCTCCGCGCAAAGAGAAAGACCCCGGGCGGACGGCACATATCGCGACGTTGGAAGACGACGAGCCTCACTCAATCGGGCCGGTAGGCCGTTCGCGCATGTCCCGCGGCTTGTGCAAGAATGGGCAGATACGGACCTTGCGGCATCTCGGGTCTGTTGAGGAGGGCGGGCGGCCCAGCAAGACAACGGATGGGAACAAGATGTCAAAACACCGTCGTGAGTTAAGCATCTCTCGTACGACGGACGCAGAAGGGTCTTCGAAGGGCGAAGATCTCCATTGTGCTAATGCGCGTCTGTGAGCCGACTTTCCACCGAGCTTTCTGCGCGTCTCCCTCGGTCTCCGTCTCTGCCTCTTCCGTCTCCCAGTCTCTATCACTGTCCCTGTCTCTGTGTCTCTGTCTCTCACGGATCTCCTCCTCCTTTACTCTGCGTCTCGCATCTGCGGGATTGATTGCGATCGATTCTTTTTTGGGGGACGTACAGGCTGCAGACTCCGCTATGGAGCGAAACCATGCGGTACCATACAGCTACTACTGCTACCTACCTAGCCTGCCTACCTGCCTCCTCACTCCTCTATCGTACAGCTCCAGTAGTGTAGAGACTGGAGAGTCCCAGTCCCAGTCCCAGTCCCAGTGTCCAGGGTCTAGCTATTATTTGCTTCTGTGGATGTGGCTCCACTCTGAGATTGGGGGGGGGGGGGGGGGGGGGGGGTGGCGAGTGGGGAGTTGGAGAGATTCTGCAGGCGGACGGGGCCCTTTTTTCCTTCCTGAACCCCGAATTTAAAATCGCCTGCGCTGCACCGCGCCCTGTGGTTCTCTGCTGCAGCCAGGGTGCTTGTTCGTTTTCTTGCCTAGGTTTCTCTTACTTTCTACTGGTTTGTTCGAGCTGGGGAGGGGGATACGGACGGAGTAGGGACAAGGGATGGAGTGCGTGCTTTTTTCTGCTTCTCTCTTCGCGTATGCGTGTCTTTTGGATGGAGGGTTGGCCGATGGGCGTGGCCCCCAATCTTGCTTGGCCGTTGGCGAACTCAAGCAAGGGGAGTGAGTGAGTGGTGGGCACGAATCGCATTGCGGATCGCGGGAGAGATGAAGAACTTGCTCGTGTTAGACCCCGGGGTTACGGGATGAGGGGAGACGGAGACGGAGTGCACTCCGCAGAACCAGCTCATCTGGGGCGGGAGTTAGTTGGCACTTGGTGCGGGCAGAGCTCTAAATTCGGTCTCGCTGAAGAATCAATCCCCCCAGGGTGGGAAGACGCGGGATGGCGCGGGCTGGGCGGGCGGATGGCTTCAGATCTGTCTGATTTCCGTTTGCCACTGGCGAGATGCTAAGACTGGTTCTATCGCGGTCTCGGCCTTAGTGGTGACGGCCTTCAGCGAGCGGGTGATGGGTGGTTGAGGGGATCTTCCCTTTCGCTCGGCCGGCCGGGCAGGACAGGGATCGGGAATCTGCGCCATCTTGATCTGAGGTGTGGCATGCGAGATGGAGCTCGTGATTGGGGGGATGCGAGTGGACAAGGTTTGAGGGTACATGAGACAGTCTGAACCACGTCTTGAGCCCATCTCTCGCTGAAATTCTTTCAAGATTCTGTTTGACGTGGTTGGTGTACTTTGTTTGCTGTATGTACTTCGTGGCTCCCGGGATTTGTCAAGGGCACGTTGAAGGAAGGATGAGAGGGTTACAGTGGCATACAATGCTGCGACATAGGAAATCTCTGATTTGTCGGTGACTATCGATCGGGATCGTACATGGGGCGTCCTCGCGGCGTGCTGGAAATGTAACATCATCGCCCAAACACCGCCCCTGCTGCCCCCGTCTTGGGGGTTGAAAATCTATCTTACAATTTTTTTTGGAAGTATCGTGATGGATGATGAGCAGGTTTGGCACGTCAGTGCGGTGGCTTTGACGCCCTGCCGTCCCCGGCTCATCTAATCTCATCTCATCTTTCTCTCTTTCTATCTTGTTCCCAAGCCAGCGTGATCGATCATCGTCGGATCTCTGTCCGATCTCAGGGACATGCCCTGGACGACGGCGGTGTCTCCATCTACCAAGCCCGCAATCTCAAATCCCCGGGACAGGGGAGAGAAGAGGGAGCTCAGCCTCAATGGATCCCACAAGCATGTGCCCCATCCCCCGAATCTGGCTGTGAAGAAAAGCTTCAAACATACATGCCGCGGTCCTCGCCCTCGACGAGCTTGACCACGACGCCGTTCTTGCCGTCACGCTTGATCTCGTACTTGCCGCCGAGGACAAGGTCCTTGGCGACGAGCTCGCGAGTGCGGCCGAGGGACTCGATGTCGCCGATGCGGACGATGGTCTTCTCGAGGTGGTCGCGGAAGCCCTCCTCGGCGCAGATCTCCTTGAAGGCGCGGTGCATCGGGACGGAGGAGGCGCGGACCTGCGCGTCGGCGGCGATGGAGAAGAGGTTGAGGCGGTCCATGTTGCGGATGAAGTCGGCGCGGGTCATGATCTGCTGCGCCTTGTGCATGGGGAACGACGGCATGATGTGGCCGCGCTCCGGGTCGTAGAGGGAGTCCATCTCTTCCTCCTCGTCCACGAGGGCTTGGGCTAGGACCATGGCGCCGGACTGTGGGTGTTTGTTAGTTGGTGCGCAAAGGAGAGGACACGAAAAGACTTACAGCCCACTTTTGCTGGTCCATGACATCGTCGTCCATCTCGGCGCCGAGGATCCAGCACTGGTTCAGGAACCACGTCTTCTCGACCGCGCAGATGGACTTGCACGTAGCAATCATGTCCTTGCTCTTGGCAACGCGGTTGAGGAAGGACAGGCGGCCGCCGACGAGGTCGTACACCTCCTCGAGCTTCTTCTGCTCGAGCTGCTCGCCAAAGTACTTGACGCGGTACTTCCACAGGGCGTTGATGGCCTGCTGCTTGGGCAGGTCGCGCACCGACATGACCTCCATGCGGGTGGCCAGCTGCTTGAGGCGCTCGTAGACCCAGTAGTCGTCGGTGTTGAAGACCATCGTCACCAGGTTGGAGGCGGCCCACTGCTCGGCGCGCTGCTGGAGCAGCTCGATGAGGTCCTTGCCGTCATCGTCGTCGCGGATGAGGTGCATCTGGTTGATGATGACGACGAGGGGCTTCTTGCGCGTGGCGCGGTTCTTGAGGGCGACCTTTTCGAGCTTGTTGAGGGCGCGCTCGATGTCGAGGAGGGCGGTGGTGTCGCGGGGCCCGCGCTCGGAGAAGTAGCCGCCGATGTAGTCCTCGTGGAACTCGAAGTCGAGAGCCTTGCCGAGGCGTATGCGGACGATCTCGAGGTCGGCGTGGGCCTCGAACATGGCGACGCCGTCGCCGTCGATCTTGCGCATGGCCTCGATGAGCATGCTGCTCTTGCCGGTGCCCTTCTCGCCGAGGATGAGGAAGTAGTGGCCGACCTCGGAGCCGTCGACGATCTTGTCGATGCGGGCCTGCTCGGGGCGCTGGACCCAGCGGTCGTCGGCCTCGGCGGCGGACTGGGGCACCTCCTTGCCGATGGCGGCGAGCTCGAGGACGGGGTCGCCCGGGGTGAAGGCGCGCGTCATCTTTTTGAGGACGATGCGCTTGTAGGTCTTGTGGTAGGCGTAGCCGGCGATGGCGAAGCCGGCGGCCAGGACGAGGATGGAGGCGAAGGATGTCGCGGCGGATTCGAGCATCTTCTTGGGGAGGGAGTCGCCGCCGCCGCCGCCATGTTGGGATGTGTCCTTAGGGGGTTCTTGAGAGTTACGGTTTGTGTCTGGTGAGGTTAGTTTTGGTCCTGCCTGGTGAAGTGAGGTTGATGTGAGAGCATGAGGTCTTCAGTTGAAGGATTCAGCCCGATGATGAGTTGTCTACGATGCCTCGAGCGAACGTCTCATGGCCTGTATGAAGTTCGCCATGACCGATGTTTGGCTTGAGCTCATTGACAAATTTGGCTGAGTTCATCTCGCGACAGCCTCACCATGTCGAGCATGGGTGAGAGCATCGCAGCCTGATCTGATGTGTACGGCATGCGCATGCAAAGACGGCCAGATCTGCCAGCCATCTTGGCTTGCAGCTTAAAACGCCAACCGAGAGTGAGATCCCTGCCTCTGCATCCCCAAAGGAGAGAACAGTGTCAGACGGCCGATGCCCAGGCAGCCTCGCGCATCAACCAGTCGGGGCTCCTCATCGTCGCACCATCAATCGCATGCACGGCGCCAGATGGAGCAGAATGAACAGAACGGCGGCCACCAATCAGAAGCAGACGAGACGAGAGAATGGGAACATACGCGCACCAACGTACCGGACCTTCGTGAGGGATATGTGGAGAAGCAGCTCCGCGCCGGTGCCGTGTTTGCCGTTGCCGTCGCTGCCGATGCTTGGAAGTAATGCGGGTGTGAGCGTGCTGCGTGTGCGTGTGCGTGTGCTGACGCCGACAGCCCCCAAGCACCACGCGTCCCGGTCCACCGGGCCCGAGAGGGTCGCAGCAGCAGCAGCAGCAGCCGACCACCCTTGCTCACCGAGGCCATGGTTGGGATCTGACGGGCATGCAGGGCCAGCTGCGGGCTCGTAATCTGGTGGTGATGTGTGTTTTTTGGAGGTGAGGATTAGAGTTGGCGATGGAGGGGGGAGGGCGGCGCCAAGTTTGGGTGACGTGGAAACAAATGAAGGAGCAGAGAAGGGAAGGAAGGGACGGAGAGGGCGGAACAGACCAGCCAAGGTGCGAGATTTTGATTGTTATGGATCAAAAAGACAGCAGACGCAAGCACTGACTGGAGGTACCTAGGTAGGTGACTGACGGGCGTAGCGCAACGCAACGCAACAACGCAACACTGCACGAGCACACGCACATACGGAGAAAACAAAACAATGGGAAAAAAGGGAAACGTCACCCAAATCGCATTCAAGCCACAGACAGTGACACGGCAGGAGGGGAGGGAGCCCTCTCTCCTCTCCGTGCCTCCCCTCGCAATTCGATACTACCTAGAGATGGCTTCTCTGTCCTGATTCCTTGGCACGACCCATGCTCTGCTGAAATCTGCTGCAAGAACCGGCTGTCTGCTGTGGCGCACCGAGCAATGCCAAGACCTTGGGCCAATTGAAAGGCGGTCAGCGGGAAAGGGAGGTGGCTGATGCCCTGATTGGAACGGTGCACTGCAGTGGCCTGTGGGTGCCCTGCTCCACTCTTTTGGCAGTCACCGTTCCGGATTCAGGCTGCTGTGGGGCACTGAACACTAGACACTGCACCGGACACCCTCAGGGCACTGAGCTGTTGCTCGGAACAACTCCGCGGGCTGAGTAACGATGTTGACGATGGCTTCAGAGACGTCCGAAATCTTTAGGCAGTTTGAGAGGTCATGAATTGATGTTGAAAATGAAATTTTAATGGTGGATCCTGTCCTTCGTGTGATTTCTGTCATTGAATCTCACCTTAACTTGTTGAGCTTGCGCCACATGCGATATGGACACTTCTTCAAGAAGACGACAATATAAAACCAACAAAAAAATCCTTACAGGTCCTGTTGCCTCCTTATGAGTTCGCTTTTGAATCGAAAACCAGAGTTAGTCACGCTAAAATCATTCTCGACCATTTTCTGCCATCAATAGTGGTCACAAACCTCATAATTCTCAAACTTACTCTTAAATGCCCCGCTTGTCGCGTAACCACGCAGTCACGAGGCTCACTCCTGCCTCAAAGATTCTCAACATCCCCAGAAAATAAGAGGCCGTGGTTCGGCAGGTTCAACCAGCCTTGAGTTACCTCACATCACACCAGCAATCAAAAAGACTCGTTACAGCTGCAGAAATAACGCTCCTCGGAACGACCCAAAGGGGGCAAGAGCGACAGCAGCATATACAATCGAGAACTCAATGCAGACACATCCCATTTGATAATCGACACGATAAACCTCCAATCAAAAGTTGCAACCTCTTCCAATGCAAGCGTGCTTCATTTGCTCAGCTTACCACTTGATAGCAAAAGACCCAAAGGTCAAGACCAAGAGGCCGAGACCCAGGGCTCGGGGCTTGGCCAAGGGCACACTCGGCTCGTTGTTCTGCAAGCTCATGGAATTCGACTCTTGAAAGAAGACCGAACTTGGCCTGTCTTTGAGTCTCTGCCTTACTGGGTAAGTACCCACCAGGTAGGTACCGTAGGTAGGTACCGTAGGTAGGTAGGTAGGCAACCTCAATCGAGTCACGTGCTTGTGTTGTCAACCCTCGACAACAACTGATGGAAACACCAATCAGAGGCTGGCAGCACAGCGGCATCAAGTTGCAAGACAAAGGAAGACGCGTCTCTTTGAACAGAATGGGATCCATCCAGGTCAGCAACGGCTCTCAGTCTGTGATGACATGCGCTGCTACCGGTTGAGGTAGTTGAATATCAAATGCACCATATAACGTGAATTTACATCTCATAGCTCCATATTCCTCGAAAGTGCCCATGATTTTGAGATGGATTGATTTTAATTTCATCTCAATCCATGTTCAACCAGCTTTTTGAGAGTGTTGTAGGGGTGTAGGGGTGGCTACTCGAACGTCATGCAGCAGCAACATCAACACCACCACCCACCCGCACCGAGAACATCACCAACTCCGGGTCCGTGCACCCACCCAGCTCGAGTTCCTTCCCAACTTCTCAACCCAGGCACCCTTCTTCTCTCAGTCGTTGTTGTTCCATTTTGTGGCCGCGTGAAAATTCTTTCCTGACGCGTTGAAAACACCAACTCTTTTCTTCCAAGCTCCCGACTTTGCTCCTTCTCAAGTTCACTTCCTCCACCACTTGGCTAACCTTCCGCCCCGTTCAACTCGCGTTAAAACCACAAGCTCTTCTTATTGAAAACAACAACAAGAAGACGACTTAGGTATTCTCATCTCATCTCATCGATTTCTCTCCAAAGACTGACGATCCGAAAGCGCGTTGAAACTCGGCGAATCTCATCCCCTCCCTCACCCCTCCTCACATCCCATCGCGCGTTCCATCCCAGTTGGATCACGACTTCATCCCCCTCCAAATCCCTTGATGACACAGCACTCTCTGGCTCTCACTTGGAGATCATGGCACCTCCTCGAATGGCTTCTACTTCAAAGATGGATTCGGATGCCCCGATGGCTTCTCCGGGTGGTGGTCCGTCTTCTGAGTATCCAGGACCCGTTCCACAACAACACCCTTCCCATCTTCCTGGCGTTGGGTCCCGACCCACGGTCAGCACCGATGTGTCCGATCTCACCCCTCGACCTTCTCCTCGCTCGGGAATTCTGCGAAGAAACTGTCCTCGACCTCCGCCCATAAACATCCCTTTGGTAGAGGATGACATCGAAGACGACGAAAAGACCGAGGTCCCTCCCACCTCCCCCGAGTCTCCTGGACTTCCAACTCCCCTTCTTGCCGGGTACCCTGGCCGCGAGATCTCTGGTGCCAAGTCAGATGGCCGAGAGTGGGCTTACGACTGGGACTCTCCTCCTGTCTTGCTCTATCCTGACGACCTCTCCAAGACCGAGTTCCATGAGCACCCCCTGGCGCGACACATCGAGCTCGAGAAGGGCTGGGAGCAGGGTCGACTTGCCTTGTACGGCCTCATCTTGCCAGCCAAGATCGACAACGGCACTCCCACCTACACTTGGGACTCCGACGAGGAGGAGGAGGAAGATCGTACCAAGGCCGTCGTTCTGGCAAAGACACCACGCAGAGCGTCTCGACCCCCTCCTCTTCGCACGCCCGTTCCGGCACCCGCCATCAACACCGAGCGCCAGCGGACCCCCTCCAAGGTTCTTCAAAAGGTCAAGACATTTGCCAACTTCGTCGCGAATGCGGACATGGAGAAGGAGGTCCCTGAGCTGCCAACCCTCAAAGAACTTCTCGACCAGTTCGGCATGCCCCCCGGAACCCCGGCCGAGTCGGCGCCTAGAACCTTTCTGCGTCCCACCAAGTCGAGCAACTCGCTTCGTCCCAAGACCCCGACGAAGCTTCCAAGTGCGACCAAGCTGCGCAACAAGAGAAGCGCCATAGGCATCACCAAGATACAGATTTCCGACCCTGTTGCCCCGGAGGAGATGAAGCGCGTCGGCCAAGAGTTCAGCGAGGCCTCAACCCGCAGCCACCGCCCGAGGACCAAGACTGCATCCGAGAGTGATCGAATCTCGAATTACGCCGCATCCCTCCGCAGCCCGTCCAACTTGATCTCACCCTCCATCTCGTCCAACATGCCGCTGTACCTTCTTCAGCCCGCGCATCCTACCGTTTTCAACGGCACCAACGAGCCTCCCCCCAAGTTCCGTCTCGCTCGTCCCCGACTGGCGCCCATGGAGTACGCCCGGCAGTATCTGCTCGCCAAGGCCAAGGCCGATGAGCAGGGAGAGGAGTGCACAGTCCAGAAGCCGGACACGACGTGGTGTTGGTCGGAGCACTACAAAGAATTCCTCATTATTCCCTCCATTCCCAAGGGTGTCACCAGAAACTTCCTTCCAGATGTGGAGGAAACCGACCCTGAATGGATCAAGAAGAAGAAACCGGTTGCAGCCACCAAGGACATGGATGAGGAGGCTGCAAAGCGACGTTCGTTCCAACCACTTCCTTTGAACTTGGCCCCTTCCTCGCCCCTCCTGCCAGCTCACCTTCGCACAAGCTCACTTGCTTCCACTGCCAGCTCGGACCCCAAGCGCGATTCGTCCCTCGATGCATTCACCCTCGACCTTCCCAGAGCTGCTTCTTCCGACCATTGCCTTTTGCAGTCAACCAAGGCTCTCATCACCAACCCGACCGCTTCGATTCCTCGCGCGAACACTGATGTCTTTGTCGCTGTGAACACAAGCAGCGAGCGTGAGTACAGAAGTTCTTTCACCAGCTCCTTCCCACCCCATTTCCTTTCATCCACTTCCCTAGGCAGAGACAGACCCTCCAGACAATACCAGCATCCACCTCTGCTGGCATCCGAACGGGACTCAAGTGCTGCACCTCCCACCCATGCCTTCACAGCTACACTTGCTGACCACCAACCTGTTCATCCTCCTGTTCATGAACAACAACTCACCCCCAGATCGGCCACCTTGAACGATGTTCCCCATGACTTCCCATTCGCTCGGCCGCCCTCGGTCGCCGCCTTGCGGAGGGCAGTTAGCCCGGCGGTCTTCACACCTTTCTCGACTCAAGATGTGCCTGCTACCTCTCCTGACCAGGACTCTCTCGACGAAGACGACGCGCGCAGCGAAGTCACCGCAGTGTACCGCCCAGAATCTGCACTCTCCTCTTGTACTGTCATTGGCCCCAGCTCACCTGTTCCCAGTACTGCTGACCGCAATGAGAATGATATCTCACCCAATAGTATCAATTACGATGAGTCCAACTTACCTCCTGCGCCGGTCTCCCCTTTGAGTAGTTCCCCAGCTACTCCGCAGATGAGAACATTTGCACCACTGCAAGACACTCGGACTCGCGATACATGGGATGACGCTCTGACCCGGCGGTCCAGTGACGAGACAGTCCAGCAAAGTATCGCCGACGAAGGAGTTGACTGTATCGACTTTGCAGACACTTCATCAGTTTACTCACAAGACAGTGTGCTCACCGCAATCCACCGCCCTGCTGCTGGTCGTCGCCCTACTCCCCCGGACTTCATGCCCCAGTCTGAGAGTGCTGTTGAGCAGGAAGAGGACTTGACCCCGCAACAGCTGCGTGAACCTTCATCTGCCGAGGCTCAAGCGCAGCCCGGAACCTTGGAGAACTCAACCACCATCCTTCGCCCGGTGTCTTATGTACCCAACACTGAAGTGGCCCAGACTTACACTGCCAGTGAGGCATCGCAGGAATACCAGAACGATCGTCGCTCCAGGGCTTCTACGCTTACTGTTGACAGCAGCTACACTCATCGCATGCCCAGCCAGGATGGCCGCGCCTCCAGAACCTACGAGTCTCGCATGGAAGCCGACCTCCGTCGCATGCGGACTGAGGAGAGGCAGAACATGGGTCGCGCCTCGTTTACCAACACAGATGGCCGTCAGTACGAGGATACCCAGAGAGTCAAGCCTCGTGGTACGCGGGCCTCACATGCTGGCAACTCGCAAGACGCCGCATCGGTTGCTTCAGTAGCATCTTCATCCACGTCTCAACGCGATCGCTACTCCACATTCTCTGATGCCGCATCTGCTTCAACATCGGAGTCGCGCCGCTCTCAGGCACTCTCCTTCACCTCGGTCGCTTCCTCAGACCGTTCGATAGCCAGCAAGCCCCGCCGCTCCCGCATCGACACGCCTCAAGATGCAGCAGCTCCTCTCCGCGACCCTCGCTTGCCGGCCCTCGACCCGGTCATACAGTCCCCTTCCCAGTCCCCCGGCCTCAGGATCTCTGCAACTTCCCCCGCCATCAACTCCACCGGCCGCCCGCGCAAGTCTTCTCTTCCCAGCAGGCGCGACTCTGCCCAGCAAGGCACCGACTCTGAGCTTCCATCTCTCAAAGTCCGCAGACGCAGACCAGTAGCCGACTTGGATCCCCTCCCCGCCTCCCAGGCCTACCCGCAACCTCTGCGCTTCAGCTCCCTCAAGAGTCACCCTCCCGGCGCCGTCCCAGGCCAACCCAGCGCCAACATCACTCGCTCTTCTTCGCGACTCATCACCGACATTGGCAAAGAGCTCGACCGCGAGATGAAGGACATGCTCTCGCCGCGCACCGCTGATCTTGTCGCCCAAGAAGCCCAAGAAGAATCCCTGGAGGAGAGCAACGTCGAGACGCCCACCCGTCGCCCGCCTCGTCAAGTGCGCTCCATGAGATCGCTCCAACGTTTCGACGCGCCCAGCATGCCGGCGCCCAGCAAGCCGCTGCCGTCGATCCCGCAGCCCAAGACGCGCTCAGAGGCTCCCAGCCGCCCGCAGACTTCCGGCCCTGCCTTTGTCGACGTTGACTTTGGCCCCGGCCCTGTTGTTTCGCGTGCTCACCCTCCTCTTCCTCCCATCCCGCCTCCCCGCGTCGCTTCTGCCCCCCGTCCGCCTATTCCTACGGTTACTCCCCTCGTCTCGCCGACGATCCCTCCTTCCCCGTCCACCGGCTCTGTGTCCGTCACCCACAACGACTTCTCGGTTAAGAAGGACCGTACGATCCGGCCTGCTGCCTCGGTCGCGGCTTTCGGTTATCGTTCCAGTGAGTACCTTCTGAATGATCTGAGGACGACAAGCGCTAACAATAACCCAGCTCCGACGGTGGACCCCATGCCAGCCCGTCAGGTTCGCCGCTTGGAGTCAACTGCCAACCTGCAGCCGCCTCCCGTGCCCCCGGCTCCGCCTGTCCCCACGTCGGCGCGTACCCGCATCCTGGGCAAGATGGCGTCCATGGCCGAGCTCAAGCACCGGCGGGAGGTGGCCAGCTCCGCAAGTGGCGGCAGCAGTGAGGAGGCCGTTGGTATGCGGACCTTCCTTGGGGAGGACGTTGCCCCGGCTGCTGCGCCCTCCAAGACGGAGAACAGCAGGAAGAAGTTCTTTGGTGGATTGTTCCGGAGAAAGAAGGACGGCGAGAAGTGAAGGATGGATTAGCAAAGGAACCGACCAACGGAAAAGAACCATATCATGGCAGGGAGGTTTGGCGTTTTTGGTGTTGGACTAGGATGGGCTTGTTGGTTTCTAGATAACAATGTCACGATAGGAAAACAACGTGTGAATATATGACATGCTGCGTCTTGAGGTTCTTGTGATGTTCCTGCGTGTTTGGTTCGAAAACGCAGTATTTACTGACCAGCACATGCTTCAGTACCTATTTACTTACGCTCATGTGGCGATCAACACTAACCGCCGACAGCAGGCAAGCTCTTGCCCATTAGGGTTGGGATGATGAAGGGCCAGACGGTTCTTTCGTACCTTACCTAAGCCAACATTGGTGGCTTTGTTCATCATTTCAAGCAAGTGCTGGACCAACCTCGCTCATTCCCCTCGAGGAAGGTGAAGATGAAAAAAATGACATAATCGAGGTCGCTTATCTTAGTGCAACGCGGGTTTGGAAGTCGCATCTGAGCTTCCTTCCTTCCACATTCCACGGCACTGGAAGGTGGCCCAAGCTTCCCACCTGCCTGGTCAGCCAACCATCCAATCCCAGCCCTCCATTCCAGAAAGAGGCCCCCGCCGGTGGACCCGCGTTCCCGTCGCGTTGTATCCACCTGGGAAACTGCACCAGGCAAATCACGGTCGTGCCTTCTCTCAGCGACCCGTCCATGGATGGCCTCCCTGAGAAAAAAAGTTTCCCCGCCGGCCAGACATCGTGTGCATTCTCACACCACACTGCTCGACCTTGACGTCTACGTCGCCACCAATTCGCCCTCCGAGGAGCTCCCCGAGCGAGCTGCCTCGCGATCGACCACCTCTAGCTCGGAAATTTTCTCTTTCGGCCGACGCCCTGGGTAGCTGTTCGCCCCACGCACGCAATGTTCAGCTCCATCTCCCGAATCCTCGGCCGCACTCCGCAAAAGAACTCGTCTCCCGGCCCGACGAGACCCTCTCCCGACGACCACGATCGACAGCCCTTCCCCTCTACCGCTCCTCCTGGCATCGACCTTCAGTTCTCAGAGATGTCTCAGGATTGGGGTCGCACAGATGACGCCGACAAGGACGACGAGTACGACGGCCCCGATGGCATCATCGATGAGTACCCCGGCGACGCCGCCACCGATGCCGCTACCGATGACTACGTCGACCCTTTTGCAGACATGGCCGCGTTCTCAACCCAGGTGAACGATGAAGACGATGCCGCTCCAGCCTACGAGTCCGAGCCAGCCGAATCCGAACCCAAGGCAAAGAAGGCGAAGAAGGCCAAAAAGAGCAAGAAGACCGAAGACAAGGAAACGCGCAAATCAAAGCGCAAGTCCAAGAAGACCGATCCCTCAAGCTCTGCCGATAAATCTCTGCCCAGTCCGACTACGAGCGGGCGGGAGGATGCAAGCGACGACGAAGCTCAGTCTAGCGAACGACTCGAGCTCAAGGTCGAGCCGGGCACCTCGTCCATCCCGGTCCCGGAGAAGAAGAAGCGCAAGCGCAAGTCTTCATCCAAGGCAGCGGACGCTGAAACCGCCGAGGCCGAGAGTGCCAAACCGAGGAAGAAGAGAAAGACCCGCAAGCCCTTGGAGGATATCGAGGACGACGAAATGGAGACGCAGCCCGAGGAAATGATCCCCGACTCACCCTCCACTTCCCACGAGGTGGTTACCAAAGCCGAGCCCCATTCTGTCGATGTCGACCAAGACCTTACTCTTGACTACACCCTCCAGGACGAGCCTCAACAATCTCAGCTCGTGAGCGTTTCAAGACAGCTGTTCCAACCTGCGAAGGGAACTTCTACCGCAGCTGTGTCCATGAGCGACGACGACCGCGAAGTACCACTATCCTCGCCCAGTGTCATTGCCCAGAGGCGCAGAAGTATGTCTCGCGGCTCTCAGATTTCCACGTTCAGGCAGGGACTTTCTAGAGAGTCAACCGGTCTGCCCGACAGAATCTCAGAGGCTGCGGAATCGGCAGACGAGAATGGAGCTGAAGATGAGCCATCCGAAGAACATGGAAGCGCAGCTGCTGTTTCGGACAACTCGGAAGATGAGTCGGCGGTTGACGCTGCCGGCGATGTCAGCATGGCAGATGCCTCCGCGGTTGCCTCTGGAGCTCTTGTCGACGGGGAGTCTCAAGACGATTTCGCTGACCAGCTGCCTCCCTCCTCTCAGCCGCCCAGGGAAGACACGCCGAGTGCCGATGAAGACGCCATGGACGTTGACGTGGAAGCCGCTGACGCCCAGGAGGAATCTGAAGAGCAATCGGAACCGGAGGTTGAGCAGCCTCATCTGCCAACGCCGAAGAGAGCAACTGCCCGGAAAGGTGCAACAACTACCACGACAGCCACTCCCGGAACCGCCCGCGGGCGTAAGGCCAACCTTCTCATCAACATGTCAGACGCGAGCCACCAACCTGGCTCGGCACAAAAGTCAGCTCGATCCACTTCATCCAAGCGGCAACGCTCCAAGCCCACCTTCTTCGCCCAGGACGACGAAAACGAAGAAGAGGAAGCGGCTCAGGCGCCAACCTCGCCGGTGGCCCCTACGCAGAAACGAAGCAAGAAGGCCGCGTCCACCTCGGAGCCCAAGGCTTCGTCGGAGAAGAGGCCGAGCTTGAAGGCGCGTTCCTTGAAAGCACAACCTTCAGCTGCTGCGACGCCCAAACCGAAGGCAATCCGGCGTCTGCAATCTAGGACTCCTTCGTCCGCCCCGAATCTGGGCGGTTTGAGGGAGGGTCAGTTCAGCATGGAGGAGATCAACCGCCTCAACGCAAGGCTCAAGCTGTACCAAGAAAGACAAGGGCTTTCTCGAGAGCAACTGCTCGGCGTGATTCACATGAAGCACTCCAAGTCTGCTGAAGACAAGGACAAGGGCCCCAAATACGACGGCGAACTTTTCAAAGAGTTTTGGGATTTCGTTAGCACCGCCTTTCCGGACAGAAAACGCCAAAGGGTCATCGACACCACTCGACAAGAGTACCGCACGAACATCCTGCGGGGCGGAGGCTGGACACCGCAAGAGGATGCCAAGATTCTCGAGCTGCACGAAAAATACAACGGATCATGGGCGAAGATTTCTAGTGAAATCGGTCGATTACCTACTGACATTCGTGCCCGTTACAAAAATTACCTTATTTGCGGTCATATTGGCAACGAGCGAAAAGCCTGGACAAAAGACGAGGAGCAGGAACTTGTTGAGGCTGTGCTCACCGTCGCCCGTCGGATGGAAAAGCCCTACCGCCGCGAAGTGACGAAACCCTTGGATTACGTCAATTGGCAAAGCGTCAGCGATGAAATGGGCCGAAAACGCACCCGTCTCCAGTGCAGCAGGAAGTGGAAGCAGATGAAGATTGAGCTGACCGAAGCCGATCTGCGCGGATCGATGGATGATGTGCCGTGGCCCCTGAAGAAGTGCCGACTGCAGATTCGAGAAATGGCACCGGAGGACAAGTACAGATTGGTCGAGTCGATCTCCAAACAAGCTCCGGGCCCCGACAGCGCGATCAAGTGGACGACACTAGTTGACGTTCAATTCAGGAGGAAGTGGCACAAGGATACTCTCAAGCTGCTGTGGTTCCGTCTGAAGCAGCAGGTCCCGCAGTGGAGGGAAAAGACAGTTAGAGACTGCGCCCGCTTCCTCCTGAATGACGCTGCAGAGAACCATCCTGAGGGTTCCAAGTTCCTCACTGGCGGAGACGACAACTTGGATGCGGACAGAGAGCTTAAGGTCATCTCTGCCACCCGGAGGAAGGCCAACAAGGGCAAGGGCAAGCAGCCAGCGAGAGAACAGTCAGTCACCGGAAACGAGCTCAGCACCATGCTGATAACCGCGAGTGATGCCGAAGAGGATGAGGAGGACGATGAGGATGATGAGGCCGACGAGACTCGCGCCTCCAATGAGGAGACGATACTCACTCAAGACGATACCCAGTTTTCAGAATCGGCATCAACGTCGCCGCGACTTGGAATCGCCCCGTCGCTACTGCCCCCAGGAACACAGCAGGCTAATTCGGCCGAGCCCAGCCCCGCAAAGAAGCGGGTTAGACTTTCGCGGGGAAAGACGGCGAGGGGTGCCAGCGAGGTTAACGAGGAGGAGGAAGACTCGCCAAACGGTACACCTACACAATCACAGTTTGGCGACCGCGCAATCCCTGACCGTCTCACGGAAAAGAAGATGGTGGCCAGGCAGCGTAAGACGTCAGGCAGAGCACAGTCGGTAGCCTCGATGCAGGTGGACTCTGTTCAGAACAGCGATGTCGACGATGACATGCCCGAGATACGGGTGCCCCCCTCGACTCAGCCGTCGAGATTCAAGGCCATCAACAGCAAGGCGGTGGCACCGTCATCGCAGGGCAACTTTGCCCGCAAGACTGGGTCAAATGTGCTTCCCGGAGAGCCAGTCGAGGTGACTGAAGAGGTCATGGCGGCGTTGGCTGAGGCGGAGAGCAGCGACTTCGGCGAGGAGGACGAGACTACGGAGGCTGCACCGGTATCTGCTCGGCGCAGAAAGTATAGGAAGCGTCCACGCCGGGGCGAGGTGGCCGAGTCCCCAGCCTAGAAGGCTGCGTCTAAGGGCCGACCCCAACGGCGCGGTGCGCAGAAGCTAGTGAAGAGACGCAAGTCAAGCGGATAATAGCACGATGACGGTTGGACTTGTTTCCTAGGATTACACACCCGGGCTTGCTAAGCCGGTGGGAGTGGATGCGTGTATGCTCGGTGTTCGGGCAGAGAGCACGGGTGACGGGGAGGACGGGAGCGCCGGTTTTCTGGGGCACGGCGGGGCGTGACACGTTTTTGTGGTCACTGGTCACCGATTCGCATTGTTTTCACCACATGTACCAATACCTCACAGACCGAGTCGCCAGGACTCGAGTGACATTTTTCGTTCGTCGTCAGGTCCGTATCCGTAGTACGGTAAAACATCGTTATGTTGAGAACTTGCCTGCGCGAGTTTGTTCCCTGCAACTGGGGGTGTCAAGTCGTGAGGTTTTACGTC